CGCCATCGACAATGGCGCCAATAAAGCAAATTCGTCTGCCTTTGTGCTTTGGTTTCGGCTGCATGTCGGTGACATCGTTGGGATCGTATAAGGAGTCGTTCTTGGCCTTGTAGTGATGATGTATAAAACTTTCGTCCAAATACACAACAGTTCGGCGGAGGGACAGGTTGACATGCTGTGTTGCTTCGCACATTTTTACGACGTAGTTGTCACGCGCCAATCGGTTTCTTTGTGTCAGCGCAAGGGACTTTATTCCCTTTTTGTGACCCCGCTTGTATCCACAGTGTTTGAGAAATCGCTGTGTTGCTCGGAGGGTTGTTGCATTTGAATTGGGGTCGTCAGCGTAGCTCACAAGTGACTTCTCCCTTAGAAATGCCAGCACATCTTTTGCCACGCAGCGCTCTCGTAGCATGCGTTTATTGCGCACGAAGACTTGCACGCTGGAAACAACAGTGTCGTCCCGAGGGATGGCCATAGTTTTGGACTGTCGATTCGCCGGTTGCGTCTTTACCACTACATCCTTTTCAGCGTGATATTCACGCCAAACTTGCTGGACGACTTCTCGACTGCGCCCGACCAGCTGTGCGATGCGGACACTGACGTCGCGGGCGGCACCACTCTCCGCATCCTCTTGCCGCATGACGGCGTGCATGTTGAGTATGATAAGGCGCTCCTCCAGCGTGAGTGTGCGCGTGCGCTTGCTTGTAACAAAGGATCGTATTTTCGTGAGCAGTGCCGAGGTCATTGGCACGAGTGTTTGCGGTCCCATGGCGTCAACGAGAGGATGTGAAATGGACCAAAACATAGTTAAACGATTTAGCGCTTTATGGTCTTTAACGTATTTTCTACGAAAGTCATCTGTGACTATTAAACTTAGAAGGTTTGAAAAGGTTTAGAATACATTAAAACTGGAGAGTTTTGGATAAAATGTGCTTGTTCTTGAATGTTCAGAGGCTATCTATTCATATAATTAAACTTGAAATTACCTCTTAAACCTACAGACCAAATTTCGTCAAAATTTGATGTGGGGAAGGCAGCGAGCTGAGCCAGGAAGGTTGGATGCCTTCGCTCACTGTTAACTTTTTTCCTACAGTATCCTTGTACCATCGTTTACAACACAGAGGTTAAACTGCAAGCTTCCCGGCCAGCGAAATTGTCGGAACTCCATGAAAGGATAATATCGAAAAAATTCTTGTGGTTTAAAGCCAAGGTAGCATTAACGTTTGTGTAGTGAACGCATAATCACGGTGGGGTGCTTTGATGGACGTTTTGTGCGCTTCGTTTCCCCAGTTGTCCGAGTGTCGTGGTACAATCGATTACAACACACTGCAAGTTTTCCGCGATCACGTGGGAACTTTGTAAAATGATAATTTTGGTATTATAACCTGTTGATTTAAGCCAAGGTGGGATGTACGTATTGTAGTGAACAAATAAATAATCATGGTTGGATACTTTGGTGGACATACTGTGCACTTGCTTCACCTACTAGTTGTCCGAGTGGTACCTTGAATGGCAAGGGATCGCGCAATCGGGGCATCATGTGGGATGTCGTCGTGCATTCTCCAAGTCTACTTGCACCGACCAGCATGGCTTTCCTTGGCACTTCCCTCGCGGTGGCTGGCGTAGGCGCGGCGGCGTATTGTTTCTTGGCCGACCCAACTCCATCGCCAACTGAGCCACGACCGTCCGTCGTAGTCGACAATGCGAACGTCAAGCCTGGCCACGGTCCCGTCTACAGCGTTGGGTCTCTGCCAGTACCAAGGTTCGCCACGATGCTGGATGCGCTCGAAGATGCCGTCAAGTCGAATCCGCACGGAAGGTTCCTCGGCCATCGGCCAATTGACAAGACCACTGGCGACGCGCTGGACTACGTGTGGGCCACTTATGCGCACGTGCTCGTGCGCATTCGGCACGTCGCGGCAGGTCTCCAACACGAACGCTTGGTGGAAGTGACTACCGATGGCGAACGCCCGTTGTGCGTGTACATGAAAAACCGACCAGAGTGGGTGGTGGCGCAGTACGCAGCGTACATGTGCGGCGGGTTTCCCGTCGCTCTGTACGACACGCTCGGCGAAAACTCTACCGCATTCGTTCTAAACCAAACGCTGGCGTCGACAGTTGTGTGCTCGGCCGAAAAAGTGGCGACGATTGTAGCCGCGAAACCACACGCTGCGACGCTCAAAGCGCTCGTGATCGTCGATTCAGACGCCATTGAGCCAGCCGACAAGGCAGCGGCGGAAGCAGCCGGCCTCAGAGTGTACTCGTTCGACGAGCTCGAGGGACTTGGGGCCAAGCATGGCATGTCGTCGAAGACGCGCCGCCCGTCCGCTGCGGACATTTACTGTCTTGTGTACGAGACCACGCGAAAATAATGTTTAAAAGCTTCCATGTAGGTACACGAGTGGCACGACGGGAACGCCGAAAGGGGTCCCGATCTCGCACCAGAACATCCTGTTTGAGTTCGAAGGGCTGCGCAACCGGTTTGGGGTCGGGAAAGGCACACGAATTTTCACGCGCGAGTGCCGCCACTTGTCGTTCTTGCCGCTGGCCCACTGCATGGAGCACTCGATCCACACGACGACAATTCTCGCCCAAGGGTGCATTGGGTTCTACCAGGGCAACCCGGTCAAACTGCTCGACGACCTGGTCTTGCTTCGACCGACCGTGTTTGGAGCCGTGCCACGCCTTCTGAATCGCATCTACGACAAAATCGTGCACGGCGCGCGGGCAGCCGGCGGGTTCAAAGCATGGTTGTTTGACGTGGCCGTCCAGACGAAACTGGACAACCTCCGGCGGCACGGCATCGTGCGCCATGCGCTTTTCGACGCGCTTGTGTTTTCCAAGGCGCGTGGCATCCAGCGTTCTGGTCTGACGGCAGCGACTGGCGTAGGTGCTGAAGAAAGTTGGGCTGGACGAGTGCTGCCTCGTCGCGTCCGGGTCGGCGCCGCTGGCGGAAGACGTGATGGATTTCTTTCGCATCATGTTTGACTGCCCGATCTTTGAAGGCTACGGTCAGTCGGAAGCGACCGCCGTGACCGTCATGACCCACATCTCGGACCTCGACAGCGGCAACGTCGGCATCCCGCTCATCACGTGCCACACAAAGCTCGTGTCGGTGCCTGACCTCGGGTGCGTCCCGCCGTGCAAATTCCTCTCCACGTGCACTCAACACACGTTGTCGCAGATACAACGTGACCGACACGACCCACGGCGACAACCCGGCGACGCGAATCGCTGTGGCCGGCCGCGGCGAGATCTGCTTTCGCGGGCCGACCGTGTTTACAGGATATTACAAAGACCCAGAGCGGACCGCGGACGTGTTTGACACGGACGGGTGGCTCCATTCCGGCGACATTGGCGTGTGGACGCTGGACGGCCGGCTCAAGATTGTCGACCGGAAGAAGAACATCTTCAAGTTGAGCCAGGGCGAGTACATTGCGCCCGAGAAGGTCGAGAACATTTTGGTCGCGAGTCCGTGCGTCGTGCAGTCGTTTGTGTACGGAGACAGTCTCCATTCGGTGCTGGTGGCGATTGTCGTGCCGGACGAGGACGAGCTCCGGGCGTTCGCATCCATGCGGGGGGAGCCGACGGCAGGATCGTTCGAAGAGTTGTGTGCCAACACGCGGGTCGTCAACGACCTGCTCGAGTCGCTGACGGAGCTGTGTAAATCGCGAAAGTTGCTCGGGTTCGAGATCCCCAAGGCGGTGAAACTTCACCCGACCCCTTTTACGGCTGACGACACCCTGACCACACCAACGTTTAAACTCAAGCGTGCCCAAGCCAAGCGCGTGTTCGGCAGCGCCATCCATGCGCTGTACGAGCAGTGCGGGGATCGTGTGGCAGGCCGCATCCTGTCCCAGCGGTAGACCTTTCCGTCTAGTGTAATTGTGTATGGCAAGCACGGCGTTCGATGCGGGTGGCGTGCGGGAGGCAGCGTCACGTCGAGAGAAGGGTTCACGTCGTCGTCGCGACATCTTTGCCAGCTCACAAAAATAGCCAAGGGTGCTGTGCCGATCTGTATTCTTAGTTCAGGCGATCCTGGCGTGTGCCATTTTGGAATTGCGTTGTCCGATGCGGTGTCTCTGGGCCGCCTTTGGTCTCGTATGGGGTGCCGCCGTACACGGCGATTCAACATTCAAGCTGTACGGGTTGAATTACAACTCGCGGCAGGGACCCGACTGGGACCCGAACCGGTGCAAGTCGCAAGCTCAGATCGACTTGGACATGGTCGCGATTGCCAAAGTCGCGAGTCGCGTGCGCATCTTCAGCCTCGTGGACTGCAACCAAGGGTACATGGTGACAACGGCCGCAAAGAAGGCAGGGCTCCGCGTCTGGCTCGGGATGTGGGTGACAAGCGACCAAGCGTCGTTGAATCACGAGCTGGCGGCGCTGGACACGCTCGTGGCCGACGGCATCGTCGACAACACGTCCATCGACGGCATGCAAGTCGGCAGCGAGAGCTTGTACCGCAAAGACATGACCCCCGACCAGGTACAGCACGTCGCCGTCCTCGTGTGGCGCTGCTCATCACGTTGCACAGGCCATCAACTATTATGCAGCGGCCAAGACGTACTTGACGACGAAGAACTTGACATTTCCTGTCTCGATCACAGACGTCATCGACACCCTGCTCGCCTTCCCCCAAGTCGTGTCGGTGGTCGACGTTGTGATGGGGAACGCGTTTCCGTTTTGGGAAAAGGCCGACGTCGACACGGCCGTCCAGGCGTTCGAGACCAAGTACAATGCGTTGGTCGCGGCCGCAGGAGGCAAGGACGTCTGGGTCGGGGAGACGGGATGGCCGTCCGATGGCGTGAACGCGAACGCGTCCGTGGCGAGCCCGAGGAACCAAGCGGTGACGTGTTGTGGAGGTCTCGATGGAGTTGACATCGCGCGTGTAGGCATACATCGCCGACTTTGTCGCGTTTGCAGCCGCGGGCAACGTCAAGTACTTTTTGTTCTCAGCGTTCGACGATACGTGGAAGGTGGCGCAGGAACGCGTCGAGGACACTGTCGAGGCGCACTTTGGTCTCTTGGACTCTGTCACGAGGGAACTCAAGCCCGACCTGGACTACCTCCCGCCCCTCATGGCGAACGGCAAGTTTGCATCTGGATTCCCTGGAGCACCGACCACTCGTCCTGGACCTGACGGGGGCGGCGACGGCGCGCCGACAGAGTCGACGGGCGCCCCCGAAGCCCCGATCCCGACATCGGGGGCAACGCTTGCCATGGGGATTTCGCTCGGCACGGTGGCTTTCAGTATGTTTATGCTGGCTTAACAAGCGGTTCGCTTCTGGCATCGACATATGTGTGCGCCCGCGCCTCGACCATCTTTATGTAGCCAGCATGTGGACCAAAGATTTCGAAACTTCTCGAGCGTGATATGGAATGCGTAGTACCGCCGGACTTGGGGTTTCCGGGCGGCGGGGGTGACGTGGTTATAGCCATGCCCTCGCGAAGGCGATCGGTGGTGGCGCTGCCTTCAGTTCGAGCAACCTGTCCGAGGCGTACGGGGGGGGCGGCGGCACTTTAATGGGAAGGGTTGGCGGCCATGTGGCAAAGTAAATATTCCCAGAGGGGTGGTAGCTGTCGGCGGGTTCGTTACGTTGAGGTCGAATGTCGAAGATCTCCAAATATCGAAGCCGGCAATCTCCGCCACCACCCGATGGTACCGCGCGCCCACCACTCTGGCGGTTTTGCTGTCGTCAGATCCACGGCGGTGGTATCCACATTCGAGCATTTGCGGCTGGGATGAGAGGTGCAGCAGGCCTTGTGGCGGCCGCACACCTCGCGTCGACGGCATGGGGTGGTCAGCTCGACGCGTTCGCGTTCGTGCACACGGACGTGTACAACACTCCCGAGGAGTTCCTCACCCAAGTGATGGCGGACCGCGCCGCGATTATCTGGTCGACCAACGCAACGACGCCTCCATTCCAGTGCACGACGACCATCTTGTGGGACTACAAGCCCCCGAATGGATGCATCGTGTGCACGACTGCTCCGACGCCGGTTGGGTCGTGCACGCCGTCCGGGCTCCAGATGGCGTACAGGGAAGTGATCAAGGTCGGCACGAACAAAGAACCGTGCACGGGTGACCCCGCGCAAGATACGCTTCCCGAAGTGATCACGTGTGTCCCGGACCCACGACCTGGCTGCGTCTGGGAACACGTCGAGCGCACGGGGTGGGACAATGGCGCGCTGGAGCCGTACGGGTTCATCGGCGCGACGCGGTATCAGGTGCAAGCGGACAACCCGCAGCTGGACTGCACGTTGGAACCGAGTCGACGGGTGATTGTCGACCGACTCAACCCGTGCGACTTTGACGTTCTCTCGGACTGGGGGCCGTGCGTGAACCGCCGGCAAGAACGCGACATTCGCATCAAGCGGTGTCCGCGAAATGGAGCTCCTGCGTGCCCAGTCTCCCGCCCGTGCAATCCACCCAACCAGGACTGCGTCGTGAGTGCATGGGGGCCGTGGTCGGCGTGTTCGAACGGCGTCCAGATACGAACGAGGACGATCCTGACCCTTCCCAAAGGAACCGGGGCGGCTTGTCCCGCCACGTCCAAGTTGTCCGAGTCACGCCCGTGCACTGCTGTCGACTGCGTTGTGTCGGCTTGGTCGCCGTTCGTGTGCGATCCCGCCACATTCGTCCAGACGCGTACCCGGACTATCGTTGTTCCGCCGTCGAACGGCGGGGACCCATGCCCGCCGTTAACGCACTCGGCCTTCTGTCTGCACGAAGACTGCATCATGAGCGACTGGGCGTGCGATCCCGCGATCACGACGTACACCGACAACGACTCGGTCCCGACGACCCTCACGTATCGCAAGCGAACGATCCTTCGCCCCGCGCTCAACGGCGGCGCACCGTGCGGTCCCCTCGTCGATGACGTGCCGTGCAACGCGGTGGACTGCAAGCTGTCGGAATTTGGCGACTGGAGCGCGTGCGACGCATCGACGGGTCTCCGCACCCGCCGCCGCTTCGTCGTCACGCAGCCGACGAACGGAGCCAAGCCTTGCGATCACTTATCCGAAACCAAGAACTGCGACCCCGTGCCGTGCGTCCTGACCGACTGGACAGCGTGGGGAAGGTGCGACAACGAGAAGAAAATTCGGACGCGGACACGGTCCATCGTCCAGCCAAGTTTGTACGGCGGCGAGAGTTGCAGCGCGACGGTCGAGACCACCGCATGCGACCCCAAACCGTGCGTGATGTCTCCGTGGACCGAGTGGGGCGAGTGCGACTTGGCGTACAACCTGCGCACGCGGACGCGAACGATCGTGGCTCCGCCGCAGGACGACGGGCTGGAATGCCCGACAGATCTCCGGGAGACCCTTGCCTGCCCACCAAAAGATTGCGTCATGAGCGAGTGGAGCGAGTACAGCGAGTGCGATGATTTCGCTGGCACCCGCACGCGGACCCGCGAAATCGTGACTGCAGCAGAAAACGGCGGCCAGGCGTGCTCGACCAAGTTGAGCGAGACGGCGCCGTGTTTGCCCGTCGACTGCACCGTCACGTCGTTTGGAGAGTTCTCGGTCTGCGACAACGGAGTGCGCACACGAGTGCGGGAGGTTACGAGAATGAATCGGTACAATGGGAAAGCGTGCCCGGCCTTGACCGAGACTGAGCCGTGCGTGGCAAAGGACTGCCAAGTACGTATGACACTGCATGCTGCCTTGTGCTGATGCACTTCTAGTGGGGACCGTGGGGGCTCTGGAGCGACTGCGACGCGTCGACGAAGGTACAAACACGGGCGCGGTCGATCGTGTCCGGGGCGGCGAACCACGGAAAGCCATGCGTGGGGTCGGCAACCGAGACCAAGCCGTGCTTGCCCGTGGACTGCGTCGTGAGCGGCTGGTCCGACTTTTCTGAATGCAAGGACAATCGGCGCACACGAACGCGCACGGTGGTCATCCCCCCTGCAAACGGTGGCGCTCCGTGCGATGCCCCACTCCAGGACGAAGACATTTGTCGGCCGCAGCGTTGCTCTGTGGGCGGGTGGAGCGCCTTTTCGCCATGCACGAACGGACAGAAGTCGCGCCAACGCGTCGTGCTGGACAACCCGGACAACGAAGAGTGTCCCCCGCTGACGGACACGGTGTCGTGCACCCCGTGCACGCCAACCTTCTTTGATGACTGCACCCGATCGTGCGTGATGGGCGAATGGGAAGCGTGGAGCGGGTGTTTCGACGACGGATTCCAAATGCGCACGCGGAGCCGCGTCGGTCAAGCAGAGGATTGCCCAGATGACGTCGAGTACCGCGCGTGCAAGCCCGTGGACTGCAAGCAAACAGAATGGTCTGCCTGGTACTGTGACGGCACGACGGCTCTTCGGACGCGGAAAATCCTTCAGCAACCGTTGTACGGCGGCCACGAGTGCGACGACGGCCTCATGGAGAGAAAGCCTTGCTCGAACGCGCCGACGTGTACTCTGTCGGCGTGGAGCGAGTGGTCGGACTGTGACTACTCGACTGGCGTCCAAACGTCGACGCGATACGTTGTGTCGTACGGACTCGCTTGCGACGACGACATGGCCCGGACGCGCCCGTGCCCTTCTACGGACTGCGAAGTCGGAGACTGGTCGAGCTTTGGTCCGTGCAACGCCGTCACGGGCTACCGGACACGTACAAGAGAGGTCAAGGTCCCTGCCGCTGGCGACGGGATGCCGTGTCCGGGCTTGCAGGACATGCTTCCGTGCGGTGGTGTGGATTGTCAAGTGTCACGGTGGTCGGACTTCGGCCCGTGCTTGAACAACGTCAAGAAGCGCACACGAACGCTGCTGCAGCCTGCTCTCTTTGGAGGCAACGCGTGCCTCCCCCTCGAAGAGACGGTGCCATGCATTCCGGTGGATTGCGTCGTCAGCGCCTGGTCGACGTGGTCCGCTTGCTCGAACGATCTCCAAACCCGCACGCGCCACATTCTTCGGGCACCGACCAACAGCGGGACCCCGTGCGGCAACCTCATCGAGACGCAGAGCTGCGAGTCGTCCGAGTGCCAACTGTCGGCGTGGTCCGAGTGGACCTCGTGCAACGAGAAGACGGGGCTACGATACGCCACCCGGACTGTCGTCCGAGAAGCGGACATTGGGAAGAAGCCGTGCGACGACATGGATTTGGTCAAGGCGGACAAGTGCGCGCCAGTCGACTGTGTATTGAGCGCGTACTCGAGCTTCTCGGACTGCGATCCCGTCACGTTTTGGAGCACACGGACTCGGAAAGTTGTGAGTGCCGCCAAATTTGGCGGCAAACCGTGCGGCGCGCTGTTGGACCAGAAGAAGTGCGAGCCGGAGGATTGCAAGTTGACAGCACCAGGTCCGTTCTCGTCGTGCAACTGCGCCACAGACACGAAAACCGCGGTCCGCCAAATTGCTCGGCCCACGCGGTACGGGGGCGAACCGTGTGGCGACCTCGAAGTCGTCGAGCCGTGCCCACCAGTCGATTGCGCCGTGTCCGAGTTTGGGCCGTGGACCGGCTGCGACAAAAACGCAGCCAACCTGGCGAGCGAAAAATCGGTACGTCGTCGTCGCTTGACCGCCGCCGTGACCCCATGACGTTGTAGACGCGAGCACGAATCGTTACTCGACCGCAGCAGAATTGCGGCAAGCCGTGCCCAGACCTGATCGAGTCCAAGCCGTGCGATCCAGAGCCGTGCGTCCTGAGCGCCTGGTCCCCGCTCTCGGAGTGCGACTTGAAAGTAAGCCCAAGCTGCTTCCGTGCGATGGTCGATAACGCGCTCGTAGACGCACTTGAAAACGCAAACGCGAACGGTTGTGTCCCCTCCATACTGGGGAGGTGCCCCTTGCGACGCGTTGATTCGAACGGAAGCGTGCCCGGCGCGCGACTGCGTCCTCTCGCCGTGGTCTGCCTTGTCGGAGTGCGACTTGACGACCCAAAAGAAGACCCGGACGCGATCCGTCGTCGTCGCGGCCGAATACGGCGGTGCCGCGTGCTCGACCGAGTTGACGCAATACGAAGATTGCAAGCCCGTCAACTGCAAGCTCACGCCGTTCTCGGACTGGATATGCAACCCAACGACCAAGGAAAAGACAAGGTCGCGGTCGATCGAAGTCATGCCCCTGTACGGAGGCACGCCATGCCAAGTGCTGTCCGAGACGGCACCCTGCGATCCCGTCGACTGCGTGCTGAGCGAGTGGAGCGCGCTCTCGGACTGTGACGTCACCAAGGCCGTTCGCACGCGAACGCGCAAGATGTTGACCAGCCCCCTCTACCAAGGCAAAGCGTGCGGCGCACTCTCGGAAACAGTGCCGTGTCCCCCCGTCAACTGCGTCGTCGGCGCCTTCTCGCCGTGGACCACGTGCGACCCACTCAACTTTGACCCGAACGCTGTCCAGGTAGCCCCCGTGTGATTCGCAAACGATGCATCGGATGATTGTCTTGGCAGAAACGAACCCGGCTGGTCCTTACCCAGCCCGAGAACGGAGGCACGTTGTGCCCGGCCCTCGTCGAGACCAAGCCATGCAACCCGTTGGACTGCCAAGTGAGCTGCTGGTCAGCCTGGTCCGTGTGCGACTTGGCGGTACGCTCTGGACGGCTCTTCGCGTCGTGACCGTGAGTTGTAGACGCATTTGAAAACGCAAACTCGGACCATCACGCGGCAGCCCATGTGGGGCGGCAAAGCGTGCGACGCCCTCAGCCAGACCACGCCTTGTCCGGCACAGGACTGTGTCATGAATGCGTGGAGCGGCTGGTCCCCGTGCAACCAAGCCACGGCCAAGCAAACGCGCGTCCGGACGATTCAAACGCCTCCGGCGAACGGCGGTGCCGCATGCGGCGACGTCATCGAGACCAAGGATTGCAAGCCCGTCAATTGCGTCCTCAGTGCGTACGGCCCATGGACATGCGACCCTGTCACGAAAACGAAGACGCGGAGCAGGACGGTTGTCACCCCTGCAGCGTTTTTTGGCACCCCGTGTGGCGTGTTGTCGGAAACAGCGCCATGCGACCCGATCGATTGCGCGCTGTCGAGCTGGTCGCCGCTCTCGGCATGCGACTGCAAAACCCAAGTGCAAACGCAGACCCGGACGATCGTCGTCGAGCCCCAGTACGGCGGGAAAGCGTGCGAGCCGACCGTTGCCACCGTCGCGTGCCCCACGGTGCACTGCGCCGTCAACGAGTGGTCATCGTGGTCTGGCTGCGATGGGACGTCCAACGTGTTCACGCGCACTCGCACGGTCCTCACCCCCGCTCAACACTGCGGCACCCCGTGCCCGGCCCTGTCGGAGACTCAGTCGTGTCCTCCCGTGCATTGCCAGCTCAGCGCGTGGTCTGCCCCATCCTCATGCAACTTGGACACGCATGTGAAGACCCAGACCCGCACGATCCTCGTCGCCCCGCAGTGGGGGGGCGAAGCATGCGGCATCCTCACTCGAACGATTCCATGCCCGCCTCGACACTGCGTCGTGGGCGACTGGTCCCCATGGTCGGACTGTGATCTGTCCAGGGCTGAGAAGAAGCGGAGTCGCCGAATCCAAATCACGCCCGAGTACGGCGGCGACCCATGCGGCAACATCATCGAGACGCAGGAATGCAAACCCGTCCACTGCCAAGTCACTGCGTGGGGTCCCTACGGTCCGTGCAACGCCGTGACTGGTCTGCGCACCCGCACGCGAACAATCCAAGTCGCGCCCGAGAACGGCGGCCAGTCGTGCCCGGGACTGTCGGAGGACCTGCTCTGCGACCCCGTCGACTGCAGATTAAGCGAGTGGACTGTTGGCGAGTGCGACGTGACGTCGCAGCGCAGACCACGCACGCGCACCGTCGTCATAGCCCCGTTGTACAACGGCAAGCCATGCGACTCGTTGGTTGCGTACGATGCGTGTCCGCCCGTGCATTGCCAAGTGTCGGCCTTCACGGACTGGTCCAAGTGCGACTACACCACCCGCCTCCAGAAACGGACCCGGACGATTACCGTGGCCCCGCAGAACGGTGGCACGGCGTGCGGCCCGGTCACCGAGACCCGTCGGTGCGACCCCGTCGACTGCGTGATCACCCCGTATGCGTTTGGTGAGTGCGATCCCATCACGGGCAACCGAAAGGGCATCGCCCAAGTCGCGACTGAGGCCCAGTTTGGCGGCGCCGCGTGCCCGCCCTTGGTCAAGCTGATCCCGTGCGACCCTGTCGACTGTGTCATGGGTCCGTGGTCCGCCTTCTCGAACTGCTGTCTTCGCACGTACGTCCAGACGCGCACCCGGTCGATCGTGACGCCGGCCCAGTACGGCGGCAAAGGGTGCGGGCCGACCATCGATACGATCGAGTGCAAGCGCCAGGACTGCGTGCTGACTGCGTTCGGGCCGTGGGGAGTGTGCGACCCCGTCACCAACATGAGGTCGCGCACCCGGAGTGTTCACATTCCGGCCGCCAACGGCGGCACGCCGTGCGGATGTTTGGTCGAGTCGGAGCTGTGCCCGCGCATCGACTGCAAGCTGAGCATGTGGGGCGATTGGTCCGTGTGCGACCCCAAGACGGGCACCCAACGCCGCTTCCGCCAAGTTCTCGTCTTGCCCGAGAACGGCGGGTGTGCCTGCGGCGACACCACCGAGACGAAGAAATGTGCTCCGGTGCACTGCCAAGTGTCTGCCTTTTCGAGCTGGTCCGAGTGCAACATCACGACAAGCCATCGCACACGCACGCGCCAGGTCCTCACGGCGCCGCTCTACGGCGGCAATCCTTGCCCAGTGCTGAAGATGCGGGCACGTTGTCCGCCCGTCGACTGCAAAGTGTCCCCGTTCGGATCGTTCACGGCATGCTGCCCGGACACGCGCACGAAAACACGCAGCCGCATCGTGACCCAGGAGCCGCTCAACGGCGGCCTGCTGTGCCCAGACCTTGTCGAGTCAGTGTCGTGCGCGCCGGTCGACTGCGTCGTCAGCGACTGGACCGATTGGTCTCCGTGCAACTCGAACGATGCCGCCACCTCAGTGAGTTCCCGCACCCGCACCGTGCTCCGGTGGCCCGTGAATGGCGGGACCCAGTGCCCCGGCCTCACCGAGACCAAGCCGTGCAACCCCGTGGACTGCCAAGTGAGCTGCTGGTCACCGTTCTCGGCATGCGATCCCACGAAGCGGGTCATGACGCGCACTCGAAAGGTGACCCGACCAGCGTCGAATGGAGGGCAGCCGTGCCCGCCGTTGTCGGAATCCGTGCGTTGTCCGCCGGTCGACTGCACGATTAGCGAGTGGAGTGCATGGTCATCGTGCAACCCGAACACGTACCACCGCACGCGCAAGGCCACCATCGTCACGAATTCACAGTACGGCGGCCGAGAGTGCCCGCCGCTCATCGAGCATGAAAAGTGCCCGGCCGTGAACTGCGCTGTCAGCGACTGGTGCGACTGGAGTTCGTGCGACGCCAGCGGCAAGAAAACGCGCACTCGAACAGTGACGACTCCGTCCGCCAACGGTGGGCTGTCATGTCCAGGGCTGGTCGAGACCAAGGCATGCGACCCCGTGCATTGTGTTCTCGACGCATGGGGTCCGTGGAGCAAATGCAACCCGTCGACTCGGCAGAGATCTCGCGACCGCAAAGTGCTCGTGGCTCCTGCGTACGGAGGTCATGACTGCGACGACGTGACCGAGACCGAGACATGCGTTCCGATAGACTGCCGCGTCGGCCCGTTCTCGGAGTGGGGGCCGTGCAACGAAGCCACCTCGACCCGGTCCAGGACGCGCCCGATTGTCGTGGCCCCGCAAAACGGCGGGGCGGCATGTCCTGCGACCACCGAGACGCAACCATGCCCTGCTTGCCACTGTGAAATGAGCCCCTGGACGAGCTGGGGGCTGTGCGACGACTACGGGTACCAGGTTCGCACGCGAACGGTCCTCGTCGCTGCCCGCTACGGCGGTGTGCCGTGTGGACCTGTCAAAGAAAAGCAAAAGTGTGCGCCGGTGCATTGCCAAATGGGCCCGTGGGGCCCGTGGAGCGCGTGCACATGCACGACGATGACCAGTGTGCGCAGTCGAAGCATTTTGGTCCCCGCTGCGTTTGGTGGCGCCGAGTGCGGCGCCAGCACCGAAACACAGCCATGCCCTGGCGTCGACTGCAAGCTCGGGGCGTGGAGTGCGTGGGGTGCGTGCATCCGGGGCTACCAGACCCGCGTCCGCCCGATCGAAGTGGCGCCCGTCGGGAACGGCGCCAAGTGCGGCGTCGCGTCGCAAAAAAAGCCGTGCGACCCCGTCGACTGCGAGCTGTCCCCGCCTGGTCCGTGGAACGCATGCAACCCGTGCACGGGCACCAAATCCCGCGACATCTCGATCAAGACGTACCCGGCATACGGCGGGCGACCGTGCCCCGAAACGACCGAGAGGGCCCCATGCGACGCCGTCAACTGCGCCGTCAGCGACTGGACGCCGTGGAGCGTCTGCTCGTTTGGAAAGCAGTTCCGGACACGGTGCGTGACCCGCCAGCCCGCGTACGACGGCGCGGCGTGCCCGCATCTCCGCGAAGTCCAGGGCTGCTGCGTCGTGGCAACGACCGTCCAAAAATGGTCGCCGTTCTTCAGCGTCGTAGCTTAGCCACGTCCGTCCCCCCTTCATGACAATGAATCGACGACCTCTCGTATGTGATGGATGGCTGTGTGGGAAGCGATCCCATGGCGCACGCACTCGATCCGTGGCCTGTCGACGCGCGCACACGAGCGTAAACCATTCATTTTTTTTCTCCATGTTGTTTTCCGTCATATCTACGCGCGCGTCGTCGTCGTCGGACGACGTGTTACGCGGCGACTTTCTTTCGCTTGGATGGTTCTTCGTGGCCCCGTTGGACGGCCGTGATGCGGTCGCCCAGACTCAGCGCAATGCCCTGCGTTTTGCTTCGAATGCGAATGTACCCGGCGATCTTGCCCTTGTCGAGCTTTTCCACACTCAAATTCACCAGTGCGTCCTCGCCTACCACAACGCGCATGAGTCGTCGACTGTGCACACGACACCCGAGTCGTCGTCGTACCAAAGATGCTCTTGGCGTACAGATTCGCCGCCAAAAAGTGTGTGTCTCCGCCAAGGGATGCCGTCGGCGTCATGCACCGCATGTTGGTCTTGTCCACAATGTGCTGAAGGAACGCAAACACGTTCGTGATGTCCGTGTTGACCGCGACGCGATTCTCCCACTCAAACTCGGCCCACATGCTGCGGAAGTGCGTGTCGCCGCAGTCCGCGGGCACAATGTAATCCATAATGTCGAGGTGGATGTCGTTCAAGTTGACGTACGTCTTGTCCGCGCCAGACGCGGACTCGTACACGATCGTTCCAAAGATGTGGCCCGTCTCGGTCGACGACACCTTGATGTTGGCGCGGATCGTGCGCGAGTCCAGCGGCCCGATCGTGATGGACGCCGGCCGCTCCACGAGCTTGAGGTCGCCCATGGGGGTCAGGTCCACACTCAGGTTGTTCAGAGTGTTGGGCGTGCGGTTCATCACGAGGATGTCGAGCACGATGTCATACGCATGGACAGTCACGTATGCTTCGGCGTAGACTGGGTCGGCGAACCCGGTGAGTTGGTGGACGGCGCGCAGCTTGCCGCTGTATTCGTTCGGGCCGTCCGTCGCGCGGCTAAGGTCGGCGCCGTCGTCGATGTCAATGTCTGTGGAGCCAAGGGCCTTCTTCCCTCGGAGTTGGCGGAAGCTGATGAGATCGTCCACTTCGATTTGCGGCGCGTCGGCATCGCCAAGAGCGGCAGCCGCAGCTGCTGCCGCCGACGCTTGATCGTCGAGAACGGCTCGGTACGCCGCCCGACAGTCCTTGGTCAGCACGGTTGCCATGCGGTCAAAGAACGTCGGGTCCGTCAAGATGCGGACACACACGAGCATGCGGCGCTTCGAGTCTTCGTCGAGTTCAATCAGGGGAGACGCTGCGGCGTCCTGGCCGTACGAAAGGAACGCGACAATGTAACGCAGCACGGTGAGGACGAGCGACTTGACCGGCCCGTTCGCAGCGCTCGCGGGGTCGTGCGTCATGGCTCGGACGGCCAGTTTCGTCAGCGACGACGACACGGTTGACGCGAGGAAAAAATCGCCGGCCAAAATGAGTTTGCGGAGCGAGAGCCCTGCGGACGCCGCGACTGCTGCCGGGTCCACAGCGTACGACGTCTCGGTGGCATACGTGCCATCCGCCAGCACGACGCTCTTCGTGACGGGCTTGGCAGCGGGGGTCGCCGACTTGTCCACGGGGGGCTTGACATCGTTGGAAAACGGAAGGGGGCCAAGTACCTCCACAATCGCCTCCACCACAACGTGAACGGCCGTGTCGGCACTCGGCTGGTCCGATGCGTACTCGCCGAGGACCCAGAGCGCGACGCGGAAGACCTTGGCAGACTGGATGTCGCCGAGAGACAGCATCAGCTTCTGCACGATGCTCGGCCGCAGGTCTGGGTACGTCTCGCACATGGTTCGGACAAACAATACGACGTCCATGGCGCCGTCCGAGTTGAGAAAGTCCATGAGGAGGTGCACGACTTGGTGCGCGACTTCGGGGAACTTGACGGCGCACGCGTGGATGCTGCGGATGAGGAGCTTGCGGTAGTCGTCCCCGGCGGCCTTGTCCATGCGGCCCTTCTCCTGTGTCTTGACCACTTCGCGCTTGAGATGACCGACGACTTCGTCAATGTTGCGCGGGCTCACGAGATTCATAGCGATGTCCAGCACCTTCTTGCAAATGTCGAGGTTCGGCGACGACAGCGCGCGGAGGATGTCCATGAGGACCTCCTGCAGGACCTTGGTGTGATGCTTCTTGAGATCGGCGAGACGATCCAGTACAATCAACTTGACGTTGTTGTCGCTCTGTGAATTTAACAGGCCAGCGTACGTCTTGGCGGCGGCGCGCACGGCGGTCGGCGCGGAACTGAGCGTGACCAGCGTCCAAGCAGCTTCGTAGCTCACAGCGGCCGACGACGACTGGAGCAGCTGAAAGATGCATCGGATAAAGCGGGCTTTCTGAGCAGGATCGACGCGGCACACTTTGCGCGTGAGCTCGAGAATGACGAGGGAGAAGCCGTCGCCAAACTTCTGGATCTGGTCCATCGAGTTCATGAGGAAGTTGACCGCCACGGTCTCGGCGCAATCGAACAGCATCAAGTACGCATTGCGGCGCGCGCTCGAGTCCGATTCGGTCACGATGAAGCGTTCGATAAGTTCCGGCGCGTCCGGGATCAGCGCGTCCCCAAAGTTCTTGTACATGGTATACACTGTCATGACGGCGTTCTTGCGCACGTACGAGTGGCGGTGCTCGAGGTTGGCCTTGACGGCATCTTTGAGGGGTTCCAGCAGCTCCTTTTCCTTGATCTTACACAGAAAACGAAGCATGCACCCACGGACGTACTCGTTGGCGTGGTTAAGGTCGTTGAGTAGGGCATTGCAAACGAGGATCATCTCGGGAAGCAGTTTGCCGTGTTCGTCGTACTTGGTCGCGATTTCCCAGTAGATCATGAGGAGTTTCTTCAGCTGGTGATCTTCCTTCGTGCTACAGAACCGAATGATCTGCATGAGCACGCGGGGCTGCTTCTCGCCGTTCAAGAGCGCCACGATTGCCGCTTTTAGCGAACGGATCTTATCGTCAATCTTGGCACTTTCTAGACCTTTGAGGATCTCATCCTGGCTGGGGGGCTGCGCGCCACCCTTCTCCACCCCCGAGAAGAGCAAGATCGTGCAGTTCTTCTCGCTCGGCGTCGCCATCGCAGCTACGATTATAATGCTCGATACATTCCGGATACCACCCATGACTGTCATCCGGAAACATTCACCACCGCAGACACGGTGGGTGATGTGGTGGACGCTAATTGGTTAAAATTCATGCGAATTCCCCAATGCCACCATCAAGGTACCACGCGGGTCGGCGTCGGCCGCGCCACAAGCACAGCGAGATTGCATGAGGTCAAACGAGCTCGTATGAAGGAGGACCCTTCCTCCCGCCCCAATCCAAGCCACGTGCAGTGCCTTTTGGCACCCTGAACTGTGGATATAGGACCCATGTCTTTGTGCGAAATGTTTGTAATGCCGGACCAAGTCCCCAGCCTATCCCCATTGACACGATACGACTCTGCGGTGCTCTCAAGCTTGCAAAGTGCTCTTCACTTTGTAAGGTTGATGTGCATGGCTTGCAAGACAATTGCGTTGACAGCGACACGATGGCAAGGACAAACGTACCTGATAGAATTTAGTATTTGCAACATTTGATAACCTGTATTTATGAATATTTGCAATCATGTTATGGAGTATTTTAAAGTTCATGGACTTTTACTGTTTGTGTAACATGAAGTTCAACCTCACTTCAGTCTAATAAAACTGTACAGGTACATAACGAGTACTTTATACGAAAATCGTGTAAGCCAGTGAGCATTGTTCGTCATACCTGAGAGTTGTCCCTCCGGTAAGCTTGGAAGTACTTCATGTAATGTATTGAGTCTGAATGGAATCTTCGCCCACCGGAGAGCATGTTGGCCTGACGTCGGCTTCCTATATGAAGTGAAACGTTGGAGTGTACGATTAAACTTTGTCGGGACGATGTTAGTACTGAACAACTCACCATCCCATGGTCATACTATTGTGGAAGGAAGGTTGGCCAATCAGCGTCAAGCAATCAAATCATTGGAGCCGAACCATTGTTTGGGTAGTTTTGAGTTGATTTTTAATATGTTTCAAATACTGTTGGTTGAAGATGATTGTATTTCAAATGCATTTTAAATAAATCGGCACGGCGGTTGTCTGTCCTGCGTCATTTTCACTGCCATGGCAAACAACAAGCAGGACAAGCAGACGCGGCGGAACGAAGCCAAGGCGAAGCGGCGCAACAAGTCCGCGTGCTCCGCTTCTTCGTCCATCTTGAACAATGCGTTACGCACCCAACAGGCAAAGCAAGTTGTTGCACCGGGCGTGGCACCGCCGAAACTCTCGGCCGCCAAATCCCTCGCCCGGCAACAGATGAAGCTGAAACAGAAAGAACTCCGCGCCAACCTGGTCAACCGGAACCGCGGCATGTCAAACATGCCGTCGAACTTGACCAAGACGAAGATGAGCCTCGAGTCGCTCGTCGGACAGGCGGCAAGCGCCAGCACTAGCTTTGCTGAAGCCGAGCAGGAACGCCAGGCCACTGCCGAAGCGAACGAGTTCGTCAAGGAGATCGACCTTAACGATAACTCCCGCAAGGCGTACATGCGCGAGTTGAAAAAGGTGGTGGACCGCGCTGATGTAATTCTTGAAATCTTAGACGCGCGGGATCCGATGGGCTGCCGGACAATCGACATGGAGGACTTGATGCGAACCAAGGGAAAGAAAGTGGTTCTAGTCCTGAACAAGATTGATCTCGTGCCTCCCGAGGTGTTGCAGCCCTGGTTGGCGTATCTGCGCACGTTCTACCCAACGATTGCGTTCAAAGCGTCGACGCAAGACCAGAAAACCATTTCGTCGAGCAGCGGCGGCGGCAAAGGCGAGAAAACGAATGGCAAAATCATCGCAGGCAGCCGCGCCGTCGGCACCGAGCCCCTCATGCAGCTCCTCAAGAATTATTGCCGAAGCAACAACATCAAGACGTCCATCACGGTCGGCGTCATCGGGTACCCAAACGTCGGCAAGTCTAGCGTGATCAACTCGTTGAAGCGAAGCAAGGCCGCGAGCGTGTCATCGACTGCCGGCCACACTAAAGTGATTCAAGAAATCCATCTCGACAACAAAGTCAAACTCATCGACTGCCCTGGGATCGTGTTCGACACCCATGACCAAGACGCGCTGATTCTTCGCAACTGTGTGAACGCCGAGTCCCTGAACGACCCGGTCCCAGCCATCGAGGTGATTCTGAAGCGCTGCTCAAAGGCACAACTCCAATCGTTGTACGGAGTTCCTCCCTTCAACGACACGATCGAGTTCCTCGTCCACTTGGCCCAGAAACTCGGGAAGCTCGGAAAGGGTGGAATCCCCGACCGAAAAGCCGTTGCACGCAGCATTCTCCAGGATTGGAATCGCGGCAAAATCCCGTTCTTCACACCTCCTCCAGCAGCCAAAGACACACGGTTGGACGTTGGTGCCACGATAGTCTCCTCGTTCGGCGACGATTTTGATCTGGCGGCGTTGAATCCGACCGTCGAACACCTGCAAGACGAGGACGACAACGAGGATGAGAACGATATGGACGTTGGACCAGTCTGCAGTGTCACTCTGAGCCAAAAGAACGCAGAGTCGAAGGGGCGTGCGGCATCGATTTACGATGGACTTGATTCGGATGACGATGACTCGGACAATGACGACGACGAGTCCGACGATGAGACGTCGATGCAGACCGGAGGAGTCGTCCGACCAAAGTTCAAGGAAGATGCTCTGAATATCCCGACTGCCCTCATCGCACGACGAAGAGCGAAGGCGTTGCGGAAGCAAAAGCGCAAGGCGGCCGCACACCAAATCAGCGCTGCAGTCGAAGATGAATTTTGCGACATCTTGGACAATATCGACATGTCTGGTTAATAATATTCAGTATATGGTAATTTTTGTTCGCATCTTTTTTCTTTTGATCGCCCCGTCTGACTGCCAAAGACATTGTACTACGTACTTCCTCTGGGCCAAAATACTGTCACCATATCAAAAACGCCTCCTCTCGAAATACTGTCACCACTTGTATCTTATTGGCTAAAAATAATCGAAAATGAATATAATTGGCTAAAATACACTTCATGCAATGAGAATTTATTGACATTAAGCTATCAAATCTCGACAACCTCAGAGGGCGAAACGTTTGCCATGAGAGTGCCACTACGTCTCTTGGATTGCTTTTTCAAGTGAAGGAGACGGCCAACACGTCCTTTCTTCTTTGAGCACATGTCATTCTTGTTGAACTGCTTCCACACCTTCGAAATCGTTGCCCGGTGAAGGCCAAACCGGGTTGCCGCCTTCTGGTAAGCACCATGTGCCAACTTGTTGCCACTGAGACTCTTGAGCATCTTCACGACTTGGTGCTTGTCTTCCTCCTTGAGTTCTCTTGTTCGTTCCACTGCCATGGACATGGTTTCAATTTGACTTGAATTCAGTATGATATGGTGACACTATTTCGATCCACATCCACTAGTTTAAAAAATTTCACATGGTCGGGAATTTTTGAACTCGATTTTTCCCGCCAAAACCTTATTTTCGCGCTCATTTAACAACACTACTGCCTTCCTCCTTTAATACTCTTTATTAAATGATGCGATATATGAATTTTCGAGTAAAAATGGATTTTTGGGGTCACCTCAAAGTAAATGTTGACAGTATTTTGGCCCAGAGGAAGTAGTATATTTTTACGCAGTGAAAAGAAGTAGAATATCTTGACACGCTCATGATATTGTGACCAAAATGTTCTGCATTTCTGTGACAATCCACTATTTTGTCTACATTTGAAATCGCACTAAAGCTGCGCATCAAGGGCAACAAAACGCCATGACAAGCCAACCATTGTGAGGTACCAGATAGAGAAAAATTTGCACTTGAAAAAGTGCAGATACAGAGATATCGAAAAATCACGCAAAAATTTCACTGCATCCTCAAAAATCCGGAATCAAAGGCAAAGGTTGTGTACAATATTCAGCATGTTGTTGCTCTCGCACTTAATCATTTGAAGTTCTTCGGATATTCCGAAATAGTTGCATTTACTAAAGCGCGTGTATTTTGACCACCGTCTCAACCCAACAGCGCCAGCGCGATCGACATGGAGACGATGAGAACGACGTCGTGGCCAGGATGCACGACAAACGAGTACGTGGACGGCGCGCCTTGGCGCCGAGTAATCGCTGTACCTGACCCGAGAAAGAAGGTGAAGTCCGTGTTGTCCACTGCAGTGATGACGAACTGATGTCTTTCAAGAGACATCGAGTTTGCTCGGATGTCGGTGAGGCCGAAGACTAGACCAGGCAGCCCAAGTTGATGGAATACAGTTGTGGGAGCTGCTGCGTCGTTGTCTCGCTCGGCTGTGAGAACATCGATCAGAGGTGACGAGAGCATGTCGCCATGGGTGGCGCACGTTGGAACAGCGCGACGAATGCGAACTGAATTGCCACTGAGATGGAAACTGGCGAGCGGAATATCACCAGACGGGTCAAGGAGTACCATGCCACCGTGGATGCTGGGCAAAGGATGAAGATAGAAATATCATTTTCCTCCAGGCCCGACGACATGACCAGGTCGATGGATGCGGGACGTGTGGTGGGGCAGGCCGACATGAAACTCCTACAGCCAGCATCGGATGGGATCGTGATGCGAAGGGGTGGATTCCGTACCATGTCGTGATCGTAGACGAGAAGTGGAAGCCGAAGCGGGTGATTGCAGTCGCAAGCTTGCTGATGATGAAGGAAGCGACAAATCATGGTCGCATACTCCCAATCGTGGCGTTGCATTTCGTGAACGATACAACGAACGCGGCGCAGGGCTTTGTGGCGGTGATGCGCGTCTCGTTGCCGCCATACCTGCATGAGGAACGTAATTTCCAGGAGGGTATCGGCTTCGGACGCCGTGAGTCCAAACGCATCATGGAGAACCGGATCCGCGAGAATGCGTGGGCTGTCAAACACAACCTGCAGGAATCCGTGGACGAGGTGGGCAGTGTCACGGCGGCCGACAAGTAGACGGGCCAAAATGGGGTGAGGCAGCTGAAGATGACCGACGTCGTGCTTTTCGGGGGACGCTTGCAATCGTCGAAGCAGCTCCCGCGCCATCTTGATCGTCAAGTGGAGGTACTTGCGAAAGGGGAATTGGTTACATTGGACGAAGTAGGTGAAGATGCCGTCGTCGACGCAGCGAAGGTGGATGGAGAACCGGATCGGTTTGGTGTCCACGTGGGAGATGTGGACGGCGGTCGGTACATACGCACGGACCGGAGGCGGGGTGAACAGCTCGACGCCGCGCGCCATCATTTGGCATGCCATGATGCTGGCGAATCCTTTTTGAACCCATGTCCCAAGGGAAGATCGCTGGAGTTTTCGCAATCTCGTTCGGTCAATCTGATTGGCTGACATTTCATGGAAATGTCATTGATTGGCTATTTTTTGAAACTGCCGTGCGTGGATTGGTCGAAAAAATCGAAAGACAACGGATTGGCTGGCTACATTTGAAACCGTCGCAACTGCCGCTTCAAGTAGTTGACAAACATCTACATGGTCGTGAAGCCGGCCGCGATCAAGGGGGGCGGACGGGCGCACCTCTGTGGCGAAAACTTGGCGAAAGAAGTCGCGGCACCCGAGCTCCATGTGTCTACATGCATGCATTCAGTGACAACGAGCAGGGGGGAACGACGGTCCGTACGCAGCCAAGAATCCATCCACGTCAAACACTGCGAAGTGCGAGCAAGTTGAACCGTCGGGACCTTCCAGCGGAATAGCAGGCTTATGTCGGCCCAGGTCAATGTCGTTGGGGTACGACCGCACAAAGTCCATGACTCGACCGAAGAGAGCCTCGAGAAACGTCAGCGCGCTCGTCTTGAGCCCTTGGTCGTGAGGAGATTCCAACAACACTCCGTCTGTTGCGGCAGGAGGAGTTGTCGTCTCCATGAACCGACATTGGTCTGCATGAACTAGTCGCGGTTGCAGCACTCCACGCCATGCCAGTTCCAACGCACGGACGAGTCCCTCTACCGATCATTGCATCGTCGTCGGCCATTCGATCGTGTCGTTGCTTACGTGGTGCTTCTGGGATGTCGTGCTTGAGCGGAACATACACCTCGTCATGATCCAAGTCCACGAGGACCGCGCGCGCCCCAACGTCGGCAAAGCACACGCCTCGGCCATCTCGCACCACAGCATGGACGCGAGTCAAGTTGCACAGACTGGTGCCTGCACAGTTTTCGTCAGCGTCCACCACGAACGTTGGTGAGTGGGACGTACGGATGCGATGGGTGGCGGCATCCGGATGCCTCTTGATTTGAATCGACCCTTCGACGGCGATGCAGAACGGATGGGGGCTCTCCACGACTTTGGTCGGCGGCGACGGACAGCATGGCGTATACGTGAACTGCGCACGCCATCACCGTTGAAAAGACAACACCGCTGGATGATCGTACCGGCCACTCGAATGGCGTCAAGAGCGCCATCAACGCTTCCGTCGACTCGAGGAGGACGCTCCGAGAGCTCGACACGATCCAGATACGATGGCCGACGAGAAGCGCAGTCACAACTGCGACTGCGTTCTACGGTCGCTGAGAAATGAGTTTGAAATCGAACGCCACGTACTTGCAGCTGGAGGTTGCGGAACAACCGACCCACGTCGACTTGGCGCGCATCGTTGGGCCAGACGGGCATTCCCACAAACGCTCTGAAGCGAGGCGCCAAGCGGAGCGGGGATTCGGCTGCCGACGATACATCCGCTCCTTGCCATGTCGCACCGGTCCAGTTCTCCTGCACGAGCTCCAGTCACCACACCGAACACTTTCTCTATGGAACGACACCTCGGTCTGATCCAAGACTGTGCATGCTGCCGCGATCAAGTCGGCCCGAAGATGCCACAGCGACGTGCGAGAAAGGAACGTTGTACACGTCGGGAGATATGCCGTCGATGGCGGCGCAACGGGGCGCCACTGCGTCACGCAAAGACCATGAACCGGTGACGGCCGTGCAAGCAAAAAGCTGTGGGTGGTTGGTGGCGGCGCCGCCGTCGCGTGCAGCACGGGCTGTCGAGGATCCACGCAAAACGCCTACACCCCACTTGCTGACGACGAGTCTGTGCGGCGCTGGATCGCACCTGAACATCGAGAGCGGGTTTATGTTGACGGGTCCAACACGCACGAAATGCCACATGCAGGTCGTTGTCGTGTATATCTGCAAACGAAGACGCTTTGCGGTGCGGGTCATCCGTTGGCGCGAGCATGAAAATTTGAACTTGGTCGAAAATCCCCGGCGGCAAAGCGAACGTCCTGGCGAAGACCGAGGTGTCGGCTTCAAGAGTTGGAAGCACGGTGGGGTTAGAGACGTCAGAGTGCTTGGGTAGTGACGACGACAACGGGATGAGCAGCGTGCCCTTGGGTTGTTTGAACGGTTGGTGGAGCATGGGATGAACGGGCGCGACGGCTTGATACGCCTTGTGGAGGTACGGGTCAGCCTGCACGCGCTCGACCTCGACCATCCATTGAATATACAGCATCGAGTTTTGAAAGTTGGGCATGATCTTGGCCGTGAGCCACCTCCACACGTGATCCTGCGCAGCTTTGAACAGCGTCGCATATCGCGGTGGCGAGAACGGCTCGCCCTGGTACAGCAAAATGCGTGCGAGCACGTCCTTTTTCGTATCATCGGAGACGGCACCGGCAGTTGCGCCGCTTGGGTTCGTCGCGTTGTCGGCGAGGTAGGCATTGAAGATGCGCCGGACCGTTGATTGGATCTCTTCGAATCGAGCCATCGAGAACGAAGACGACGCGGACGACGCCGGCTGCGACACGAGAGGGAGAAAAGTCGTCTGGACGTCGACCCAAAAGAGCAAGTTGCTCACGTCCCCGGGGTGGTGGAACTCGCGCAGATAGAGCTCGAGGTACCGAATACGTGTCGCGTCGCAGTCGCCCAGCACATCGTGCAGTGTCATGGGATGACGTTCGCGGATCGCGTTGCACAGGTCGCCGAACATGTCAGATCTGAAGAACCCGGTCCAGTCAAGCGATCGCTTCAATCGGCTCTCGAGCGAACTCCACATGTCCAACGTGCACGTGTTGTCCGCAACGGCGTCGAGCACGGATTGGAATACGACACCTGGCGAACCCTCGTCGTCCGTCAGGTGCAAATGCGACACCACGACGGGATCGGGATTGGCGAGGAATGTTTGGACCATGTATTCCGCCTGGTTCACGGTGCGTGGATGAGCCTATTCGAGAAAGTGGAACGACGAGCGTACGTGGGCTTGGCGCGTGGCGCGGTCGGGCAACGTCGTGTACTTTTGAATGTCCGCCAAGATAGAGTACACGGGCTCCCAACCTTGCTGGTTGATGTATGTGTACAGGATGCGATCATGCGTCGTGCCAATGAGCCCATCCAGGACGATGTATACCGCGTCCTTGGTCGCCATCCCTCTCCTCATCCTGGATCGACTGCACTTTTCCCAATGGATGTACCAAATAGCGTAAAATATCGTGAAAAGAAGTTCAATTTTCAAGCATTTCTCATGAATATGGATCTCGCCTTTCGAATTCTGTCAATTCCAAACGTGACAGGATGGACACAGCGCCGCTCCTTCCATCGTCCAAGGCTCCGACGCCCTGTTATGCGTTATGGCTCTTCTTCAGCCTTGTGGGCGGGATGATCTATGGGTACAACGTCAGGTGAGTTTGCGTCTTCTGTCTCGAAGGTCGACCCCTTAACCATGCTTAGTATTGCTCCATCGCTTCCGTACCTCGCCGACGACTTGGTCTGTCAAGCCACCGGAAACAGCATCTTCTCATGAGTGTGTGGTCCTTAGAATCTTACCACGTCCCAGCAAGAGATGGCAAGTGCGTCGGCTACGTTGAGCGACACCCTTACGATGCTTGCTGGCGGGCATCTCGCCGACGCGTTTGGCCGGCGCCCGACGGCGATTGCCGCGTGTGCCTTGAGCGTCTTTGGCGCTATCGGAAATCTGGCATTCCATTCGTCGCTTTCGTACTTTTTGTTCTGGCGTCTCTGTGCCGGCATCGGCAATGCGCTCTCGATCCTAATCCTCCCCATGTACATCTCCGAGTCCGTCGACGTCGCGCGTCGTGGCCGATGCATCTCGCTCTACCAGCTCGGGTACGCCTCCTCATACTCCTTCTGCTGCATGAAAGCTCACAGTATCGTAGGGTCCTCACAGGCACGCTCGTTCCTTACGTCGTGATGCTGTTGTCGGAGAATTGGCTCCTCACATTCGCGCTTGGCGCGGTCCCCGGTCTGTTCACCCTGGCGTGCTTCTTCAGTGGCTACTTCACCGAGCGGCGTCATGAAGCGTCTCGTCAAACTGCGCCAGAAAAGCCACATCTCCTGGCGGCGCCTTCGGCGTCGCTGCCGCAGCTCTCCCACGCCACCCTGCTCGTGGTGGGCATCTTACTAGCGTACTCGAACAACTCCATTGACCTGACGCTGTTCTACGGCCCCACGATCATCTCCCAGTTCATTCAGAGCTCGTCTCGCGTGTCGGCCAACCTCATCGGGCTCTGTCTCTCGTCGTTGTCCGTCGTGTCCGTCGGCGGTGCTGCCATCTTCCTCCGGTCAACCTTTCCCCGCCGTTCCTTCTACCTGGTCTGCCACGGCATCGTTGTCGTGTGCTTCCTGGCCGCGTCCGTTCTATTCACGTCGGCAACCGAGAACGCGTCGCTGGACGCCCGTGCCTTGCTTCTCCTCGTGGTCCTCGGCCTCCTCGTGCTCTTCCAAACGTGTGGACCAGGGCTGCTCTTTGTCCTGATCGTGTCGGAACTGTTCGAAGACCCTGTCGTCCGCGCGACATCCATGGGCTACTGCACCTTTGCCATGTCCGGCTTCTCCCTCGTCATTAACGGCACCCTCCTCAGCCTCTTTGCCGCCCTCGGCGTCGGCGGCACCTTTGCCGCTTACGGGTTGTCCTATGCGGCGTGCTGGGCCGTGTTTTACAAGTACTTGCCAGAGACGTCAACGCGCCAGATCCAGCATTAAGCCACGAATTTAACGATGTCATGGAGAGGAAGCAGCGTCGACGAGGAAGGTTCGATAAATAGGGTTGTCGGCGCTGCCTCATTTGCGCGTCGGGAGGTCCCTCATGTCCCTCTGCCGCCGCTTCTTGGCGCGCTCCTTGCGCTCTTCCTTGGATAGAATTTTCCGCCCGTCGGCGGCTTCTGTGCGCTTCTTGTCCTTTCGCTACATTCGCCTTGTATGACAACACGGTCGCGCTGTCAGAGAGCCGCCGTCCTACCGCTCGTGCAGCCATGGCATCTTCTAGACGCTTGCGCTGCGCTTCAATCTCGCGCTTCTTGGCTTCTTCGACAAGATCCTCCTCGGTGATGCCCGAGTCGTCCACGACGTACGCGCTCCGCCGACACGGACACAAGTAGTAACGCAAACACCCCATGTTCTGTCTGCACACTGTCGTGAGGGGCCGTTCCTTTTTCAAAATGATGACGCAAATACCTGGTCTTGCGCCGCTGCTCCTTGGCCTTGGCGGCGGCGAGCGCGGTCGCATCGCCGTTCTCGCGGAGGTCCTTGAGCTGGCTGAGAAGGGTCGCCCGCTTGTTCCACCACGCTTCGCCCATCGAGTGCACCTTCATGCTTTGCTGGAGGCGGTAGACCGGGTAAAGCAGCGTCGGAAACTGCTGGTTCAGGATCTGAAACTCGCGGAAGTCTACCTGCACGCCCATCCGCCCAGGTCAATTTTCGTTGTGGCAGCGGTGGCGCCCGTACCTTGCCGTCGCCGTTGAAGTCGAACTTGTCCATCGCGGCCGCCATGTTGCTCGTCGCATTGTCGGCGTGCAGCATCTCGAGAAGTGCGTCCAGCTCCATCTACGAAAGCAATCGCGCGGCGTTAGCCCCTTGGAGCAGTCGATGCGAGTGCCCACCCCTTCAATCGTCCCGTTCTTGTCTTGGTCAAACACGAAGAAGCAGACTAGTGCGACGTTCATTCGGCACGGGGAGGCCATACAGGAATAGTACACTTCAAAACTTCGTCCGTGTTGAGGAGGCAGAACGCCCCAAGCGCTTCGACGTATTCGCTAAAGTCGAGCTGTCCGCTATTGTCGATGTCTATCGCGCCATGGTGGAGAACGAGTCGACGGATTGGGACGCGCTCTCACCGATAAGCGCAAAGACGGCGTCGCCCACCGCCGTTCGTTCCTCTCGGAAGCTGCGAAAGAACTCGGTCCTGTTGATCGATCCGCTGTTGCTATGGTCGAGAGAACGCATGAGCAGGCCGCGTTGGAATCGAGGGGACGAACTACACAGATCAGGTGAGACGACTGGTCGCTTGGTGGTCGCGGGTTACCTCTTTGTCAGACTTGCTGAACCGTTTGTAAAGCGTGCGGAGGTCCGACTCGTTCACTACACGGACATAGGTCACACGCCGAGCCGTCGGAGACCTCGTCCTTACGCTGAAGCTTCTCGATCGTCTTGAGCATGCTACGCACCAGGTCAGACGTCACCGGCCGACGCTTCCTTACCGCTCATCCGGCGCGGGGATTTCCGTCTTCCAGAACATCGCGGCGGCAGTTGCAACTACTGCAACGTTTCCCGCTTCCACGTGGCACCGTGGTAGCGTTTAACGTGTGGTTCGACAGGCGTTTTATTCGCGATTCGAATTGTTTGTCGCAAGGTTGCCCACTCAAGATTTCGCATATGCCGTGCAATCTATTTCAAAACGCAACTGTCAACGCAAGCTTGTCCCAAACTTAGATCGCGGCCGGCGGCAGCGATGGATGAGCACACCCAACGTACGTGGGGTGCCGTGGAGAACGTGGATGCGCTTGACGGTTTGCATCTAGTGCCGTGGAAGGTGGCGTTCCGTGTGCAGTTCAACACTGACAAGTACGGGATCAAGTTCTACCCGTCGCCGCTCCCCGACACGGGGAACGGAGTGTACACGATTCAAGTACTCGACGTCCCACGTGCGCAGGACCCGACAACGTGGGGCCCAGCGCAGCTGTACAACGAAAGCCTCAAGCCGGAGCAAGCGCACTTGTATGTTGACCATGCACGCCGCCGTGGACTGATGGAATCGACAGGGCGGTCCGCGCCGGCCTCTACCTGACGCACATCAACGATACGAACCTTGTCAACCAAACTTGCGAACAAGTGATTCGACAGTGCGTACAACATCGTGCGCCATCTCTCTCAAGTCAACACCCCCTTCCCGTAGACTCACCTCCGTCCCGCGTCCAGTCAAGCTGCGTTTCGTGGACGTCGAAGCCGGGGTTGTCACTTTAAAGGAACTGAAGGATGGACGGTATACCCGAACGTCGCTCACCAAGGCGCACATTGACGGATTGCTTGACGAATCGCCGGACTCGACATCGATTCTTCCCGCGTCGCCAACCGCCACTCGTTCGCCTCCAGTGGAATCCCGCGACGTCACAGTTCTAAGTCCTCCACAGCCCGTGACACCGGCGCCTGAAGCTCCTTCCATTGCCTCGCCTCTTGCTACTGTTTTACCACTTCCTACTCCTACGCCAGCACCAGCCGCTCCCGCACCTGTGGCGCCGGTTGTGCCTACCCCCGTCGAGCAAGCCGCCCCGCCCCCTCGGTCTCAACCAACCTACACGGCAGAGCACGTGTACAAGTTAATTCTTCTGGGCACGACCGGCGTTGGAAAGAGCAGCATACTGTCTGTTGGTGTCGGCGGCGCCTCTGCCTTCTCGGCACGTCCCTCTCGTCCCTCTGAATTGTCCAACATGACACTTTTGCCACAGGACCGTCCGGCAGCTACCCTTGACGCGGAGTTTGGCACGCTTTACGTTCCCGATCCCGACCTGACTTCCGTCAAGGCACGCTTTTCCGTCTTCCCGGTCGCCGGTGCTCATGACCAGTTGTTCATAGATGCTCAAGGCGTATGTTTGGGACACAGCTGGCCAGGAGCGATATCGCGCCATGACAAGGTCGCATTACCGCCGTGCGGACGGCGCGCTGCTCGTGTACGATGTAGCCGAGCCGGAAAGCTTCCAGAAGCTCGCGGGATGGCTCGCCGACCTCCGAGACGTAGCTGGCGACTCGATCAAGTCCATTCTGGTCGTCGAAAACATGATCGACAAGCTGCCAGAGAGCGTAGTGACGGGGGCGGAGCCACGCCCTTCCAGCTTCGTCAACGAGGCGGACGTGGCGGCATTCTGCAACTCGAATGGCCTCCTTTTTGCCAAAACAAGTGCCAAAATGAACAGCACCGCGTTCAGGTGGGCCGGGAAACCCGTCGACGAAGTCATGGGTCAGCTCCTGTTGAACGTACACGCATCCCACCTCGCGCGCGGCATCAAGCAGCAACAGGAGCAACTGGCCAAACAACTCGCGCAACCATCGCCAACCCACGCCGTGGCTTTGTCGCCTCCGGCCGCGCCGATCGTGCTCGACCCCGCATCGACTTCGGCCAATGCGAGGATCAAGGCCGGCGACTGTGCGTGCGGCGGGACATGACAGGATGCTGCATTCAACTTTAGCAAGAGTCTTTTCGCTTCCGGGGTTTACTCATAAACAAAACACTGTTGTGGGCACGGCAGAGAGGACTGGCGCACATTCCCGCGGCGGCGTGATCGTCGGCATGGCCTCCCGAAGGCGGAGGCGGCGTCGCCAAACGGGGCGACGGGGGCATCGCACCGTGCTCGATCGCTTCCTGGAGTCCACAGTATTGAAGAAACGGCGAGACTGTCCCGAATCCGAGCATGTGTCTGGCACCACACGGGTCACGGAGCATCCGCGGTGAGATGGACGGGACGTACTTGAGAGCGTTGTGAGCGGCAATGCTGGCCACGATCGATTCAAACATGGGCAGGCAAGGAGAGCTCGCGGGAAGGATGGGCAGCGCTTTCTTGTGGAGCTGAGCGGACGACGAAGGCGTGCTGATCGAGTCGGATCGAAGCGATCGTTGGGAGCTTTGAGACGACGACGGGGTTGCTGGCTGATAGCACTAGAAATACGTGTATGGATGGCGTCGGTTGCGTCCAGAGATCGCACGCACCAGCAAACACCGCATCTTGCCCCGAATTGACGTGACGACAGTGCCAGAGAGGCCGTCTGGGCCCATCTTTGCGTGTACCAAAGGCACGTTCGTCTCGAGCGCCCACTCGTTCAAGCATTTGGTTACGTGCACTTCGTCCACGCATAGGAACACGACGAGCGGAGGCGGGGTGGTTGTGAAAAGTCCTTCTGCGAACGGTGAAGTGGACGGTCGTGTCGGGCGCTGGGCAGGCCGCAGTACAACATTGAGACGGCGGCACCATGCAGCGTCGAAGAAATCGACGTGGAGCTGCTCGACGTGGACATCGTGGTTGATGGCGTGCAGCATCGACTCGACTTCCCCCATCCGTGTGTACCCGACGCTGTCCGGCCGAAAGAACATGCGGCCCAAATCGGCCTTGAACACGTTCGAGTTGTCGCAGAGGAAGATCGTCCCGATGCCACTGGAGAGAAGGGTGCATGTACGTCCACGTGAGTGACGTGGGTGACAGTGTACCTGCGGCAGTATGTCTCGGCGATCATGCATCCCATCCCATTGAGTCCCACGACAAGAATCGACATGCCTTGGAGACGCTGCAAAACACGGCAATGAGGATTCGCGCAAGTCTAGAGTGCAAACACCTCAACGTCCTTGATCACGCCACGGTCGTTGTTCGCGAGCATCCGGCTGGACAATGCGTCAGAAGTGGAGACGAACCGAGCAGTCCAGTCACCTTTGAGGACCTTCGCGCTCATTCAGGAGCCCGCTATCGACGTCAGGGCGGTGCGGATGTTCGCATGTCTTGAGCACTCGCACAGCTCGAAGAGCGTTAGCCGCCAGCCCAACGAGCTACACCAAGAGGGAGATACCACGGACCATGGGATAGCTCCTTCACCGACATGCGAAGCCGATCGACCCGCTGCGCGACTTGGGCGTGGAGCAAGTCTTCGTGGGACTTGCCATCCGGCATGGCGTGTGACGAGGGATCGCGCCGAACAGGCACAACTAAGCTCCGAATTTCAATACTAGTAAGATTTATATTATATAGAAAGTTATATTTTGACAATATCGTGCTCAAACTAAATGCTTCGAAGTACTAGTAGTACGATGAATGTGCAAATCCTGTATGGACAATATACAATTACTTATGTCAAATTTGCATGAATTTTGCAATGAATATATGCCACATAATGTATCCCTTCGACGCGCATGAATGACGGATTCATGCGCGTCCAGTGTTCTGTCGGCCAAACACGACGACACGAAAGATACAAAAGGCAATGCAGCGCGCGGCGTTGCTTGTCTCCCGCGCGAACTTCGGCCGATAGAGTGTTGCATCGGTAAACCACATGTGATTGAACAGTCCAGGCTCACACGGGGTGTTTCTCTTCCGTAAGCTCTCAGCGATCAGCCGAATTTGAGCTTCCCAAACTTGAGTGCATCTCGCGACAACCAAAAGGAATGAGGTATCTGTTGAAATTCCTCGAGAGATGCTGAACACGACGAGTTGGTCACTTATCAATTTCAACAGTTCCAACAGGAGCAAAATATGTTAAATATGCCCACTCAACACAACTCTCATTAGTGCAAAAAGTCGGACAGCATTTGCATACTTCAAGTAATCGTCGGACGAAGCGCCCGACCTTTTTGTTCATTTGGATGTAATTTCAAAACAAAATGCAAGTCAAGGAGTACAAGGTGCAATGTACACAAAAACGTCGGACGGAAATCCTGTACCCATTGATTGGCAACAAAGACCCAAGCATGGCAGATGCAACACATGACCCTTCGGAAACCAACACGTCCCGTCAGCTGTCAACAACAGTACAGGACCTGCGAAACAACCGCCTCGCCATTAGCTCGAAGAAGGGCTGTCGCAGTGGTGTTAACCAGATCGTGGCTTGGCTTCGAGAGTTCGGCCGCTCACACATAGTGAACACCGACGGCACAATTAACCTTGCCATCTTTGACTACGCAGACTTCACCGAATTGTCCTTTACAAGTACAAGATTGCCAAGGTTTCAATTCAAACCCTTTCAGGTTATCGTTCGGCGATCAAGGACTACTACAAAAGACACAACGTACCTCTCCGTGCGGGATATGCCACTGATGCTACTGCTACTTTTCAAGGTGGGTGACAATATGATGTGACGAAGGCAATCATGTGCTTCAAATAGGTATCAGCAGACTGTGCGCGAGCGAGGCCCAGGCCGGATCGATCAAGGCTGGTGGAAAGCAGCCCCTCCGATACCACCAATATGTTGAACTCTGCAAGCAAAGTCTCAAGAAGCTTGACGCCGGCTTCACGCACCTCTTCCTAACGCTGACCTGGAACCTCATGTGCCGTTCAAAATCAACTTCAACAGTACGCATTGATCACCTTACTGACGAAGGAGACTCCATCGGCGTGACATTCTTCAAGTCACAAACCGACCAGGGCGGGACAAAACGGCGTGACCCGAAGCACGTCTATGCGAACCCTTTGAAACCCGAGACTTGCTGTATAATACGTCGGAAGAGTTGTTGCTGGTTTGCCACTGGATTCCGGATCCTTCGCAGTCTTACCGCCTCATTTCCTTGTTGGCAGTGACGATGCGATTTGCAATGCAGGGGAGCTTGTCTTCCCAGGACTGAGGGCACATCGAGATCTACTACTCTGGTCCGAAATAGTTGTTAGGTGCACTTTCCAATTGGCGGAATTTTTCTAAATGTCCAT